TTAGCCAGGTGTGGCAGCTCGTGCCTATAGTCCCAGCTACTCGGGAAGCTGAGGCAGGGGAATCGCTTGAACCTGGAAGGTGGAGGTTGCAGTGGGCCGAGATTGCACCACTGAACTCCAGCCTGGCAACAGAGCATGACTCCATCTCAAAAAAAAAAAAAAAAGAGAAAGAAAAGGAAAGAAAAAAAACCTTAGCTGAATATGGTGGTGCATCCCTGTAATCCCAGCTACTTGGGAGGCTGAGGCACGAGAGTCACTTGAACCCGAGAGGTGGAGGTTGCGGTGAGCCGAGATCGCGCCATGGCACCCCAGCCTGGGTAACATGAGTGAAACTCCATCTCAAAAAAAAAAAAAAAAAAAGATTATTAGAGTGGTCCCTAATCCATTGTGACCAGTATCCTTATAAGAAGAAGAAATATGGCCACAGACACACACGGAGAGAAGACGATTTGAAGACAGAGAGAAGAAGTCCCTCAGAAGGAGCCAGTCCTGCTGACACCTCGATCTTGGACTTCCAGCCTCCACAACTGTGAGATACACATATCTCACAGGGCTTTCCCCAAGTCTGTGGTACTTTGTAGCACCATACCCTCTGCAGAACACAAGCTGAGATACTCATAAAGAACTGAGTTTTGCCTGATCCACCAAGCCATGGGCTGGGCTTGCAAAGTCATTCCTCATCCTTAAGTCAAAGGTGCCCACATGGCCTCAAGCTCAAGCATAGCCTGGAAACAGAAGTGGGTCTAACGAGCAGGAGACTCCCACTTCCAGTGACCCCAGACTCTCCCTCCACTCACACCCATGGCCTGCTGAGGGGTTCTGAGCTCAGCGCACAGAGGGTTCTGCATGATGTGGTACCAGCTGCGATTGGACTGCTGCAGCATCACAGCCCACACATGCGTGTCACTGAAAGACAATGCAAAGAGATCCCTCCAAGCAGATAGAGTTTTCAGGGGCACATCTAGTCCACTTTGTTTTGTGGAGAGTTGTTCTAAACTGTGGCTCTACACAAGGGCCTTGGATAACAGTTTAGCTGTTGTGAGAAGTATTATTACCTTAGGAGTTAAGAGCTTAGATTTGAGCTGACTGCCTGGGTTCAAGGCCTGGCTTTGCTACTTACAGTCCATGTGACCTTAAGCAAGTTATTAAACTTTCTGTACACCTATTACCTCTTCTTACAATTTTAAAGAAGATAATAATACTATCTTACCTCATAAAGTTCTATGTTGTCGACTGAATTAATATAGGTAAAGTACTTAGTTAGCACCTGGAACATAGTAAGCACTGTGTAAGTTTATCTGTAATGGATGATGGTAGTGATGATGATGCCCAATAGTCCCAGATTTGGAAGGAACAGAACTGAGGACTCATAACAAAAACTTCTGCAGATTCACTAATGGTTCAAATCCTATAGAGTTGAAAATTTGTGTCACTCTACCAGGGAAAACACCCTGATCAGCCATGGTACAGGCTGAAGGCAAAGAGAAGGTGGAGGGGGTCATGAAGAAAGGTTGTGGCCAGGTGTGGTGGCTCACACCTGTAACCCCAGCACTGTAGGAGGCCGAGGTGAGTGGATCACTTGAGGTCAGGAGTTCAAGACCAGCCTGGCCATCTTGGTAAAATCCCATCTCTACTAAAAATACAAAAATTAGTGAGGCACGGTGGTGTGTGCCTGTAATCCCAGCTACTTGGGAGGCTGAGGCAGGAGAATCGCTTGAACCCAGGAGGCCGAGGCTGCAGTGAGCCAAGATCACACCACTGCACTCCAGTCTGGGTGACAGAGTAAGACTCCATCTCAAAAAAATTTTTTTAAAAAAGGTAGTTGTAAATATCAACAACAGCCTTAGGCTCATTGCAGAAATGAAGATTCCAACAGGCATCAAATGCTTTGTCCTTGTCCTATTATGTAACCATTTGCACTTTTCTTCCCCTCTACCTTTCCTCTTCTGTTTTATGTATGGTGATCATTCTCAGCCAGGGGTGATTTTGGCCCGTGGGGGACTGATATAGTTTGGCTCTGTGTCCCCACCCAAATCTCATCTCGAATTGTAATTCCCACATTTACAGGGAGGGAGGTGATTGGATCATGGGGATGGTTTGCCCCATGCTTTTCTCATGACAGGGAATTCTCATGAGATCTGATGGTTTTAAAAGTGTCGGTTTTTTTCTGCAATCTCACTTCTCCCTCCTGCCACCTTGTGAAGAAGGTACCTGCTTCCCTTCCACCATGATTGTAAGTTTCCTAAGGCCTCCTCAGCCATGCAGAACTGAGTCAATTAAACCTCTTTCCTTTATAAATTACCCAGTTTTAGGAAGTTCCTTATAGCAGTGTGAAAACGGACTAATACAAAGACCTCTGGCAATGTCTAGAGACATTTTTCTAGAGACTTTTTCAATTGCCATGAGTTGGGAAGGGGGAGTGTTACTGCATCTAGTGGATAGAGTACAGGAGGCTGCTAAACATCCTACAATGCACAGAAAAGTCCCCCACAACAGACATTATTTTGCCCAAAATGTCAGTGTTCTCAAGGTAGAGAACCGATGGAGGGTATAGATGGTGGTTCATATTTTAAGTCCACAAGTTACAGGATATCAAGATAGAATTGGGATTGAACCAAAGAAGGCTGAATAATATCCAGAAATGGATGTGATGACTGATGGAACATTGAGCTACTAATGTTCTCTTTTAAGGAGTGTGATGTGGCTTGGATCTGTGTCCCCACCAAATCTCATGTCGGAGGTGGGGCCTGGTGGGAGGTGATTGGATCACATGGGTGGCGTTTTCATGAATGGGTTAGCACCATCCCCTCCGTGTTATTCTCTTGTGATACTGGGTGAGTTCTCATGAGATCTCGTTGTTTAAAAGGTGTAGCACCTCCCCCTGCTCTCTCTTCCTCCTGCTCCAGCCATGTGAAGATGCCTGCTCCCACTTTGCCTTCCGCCATGACTGTAAGTTCCCTGAGGCCTCCCCAGCAGCAGATGCTGCCATACTTCCTGTACAGCCTTCACAGCCATGAGCCGATTAAGCTGATTCTCTTATAATTTAGCCAGTCTCAGTCATTTCTTTATAGCAATGCAAGAACAGACTAATATAGCATGACTTAGTGCTTTTGTATTTGTATGAGAAAGAGAGAGAATGTTTGTGTTGGAGCCAGGTGTTGGTTCATGTCGTTGTTGGATATTTGAGGATGAGAAGGACACAAATGAATGTTGAGTGACTGAAAGAGTTAGGTGTGGTGAATTGGTTCACTCATCACCTCTCCCAATCATTTGCCAGTGTGCTTTCCTGTTCTTCAGAGACTACAAAGAGAAACACATTGTTTCCCAGACTTGCTTACAGCAAGGGATCTGGATGTGACTTAGATGCCGCCAGCCAGATGCATTCCCATGAGATGGGCAGCAGTGCAGAGGCATCTATCCTGCTGTCCAGTGCTCAGGCTCAACCAGTTTTGGAGCCAGCAGTCCTGACACTGACATTCTGCCTCTCAGATGCCAGCCAAGACAGTGCATTCCTAGAATCAACGCTCGCAGTGGCAGCTTCCCAATCCTTAGCCAAAGGGATGTCACTCAGAGCCAGTGGTTAGGAACAGAGGATTCTCCAGCCTCACATTGTGGCAGAGTTCAAAGTACGCCAGGGTGGGCTGATTCTACAGGGTTGTTTTTTACGTCATTTTTGAAAGCCCAGTGGAGAGCCCATTTCTCCAGCCCTTCCAATTATTTTATAAACACTGAAACCCTCTATAGAATCCCTTAATGCTTAAAATGGTAAGAGTGATTTCAGCAATAGAACCCTGATGGATACAGCAAAAAATAGTATCCACAATGACTTATCAACAAAGAAAAGGGGAAAAAAAAGAGAACATTAAGCAAAAGAGACAATTGCTGTGGGAGTGAAAGGGTTCAAGAGCACTTTCGCAGGCATGAGTTCAGGAGGCAGTTCCACCCCATGCTGCTATGGGATCTTAGGCAAAGCCACAACTTCTTTCAGCTTCAGTTTTTCTCACTTTAAAATGATAACGTCAGGGCACAGGGGCTCACATCTGTAATCCCAGCACATTGGGAGGCTGAGGCAGGCAGATTGTTTGAGTCTAGGAGTTCGAGACCAGCCTGGGCAACATGACAAAACCCCATCTTTACTAAAAATACAAAAATTAGCCGGGTGTGGTGGTGCTGGGGAGGCTGAGGTGAGAGGATTGCTTGAACCCTGGGGACGGAGGCTGCAGTGAGCCGAGATCATGCCACTGCACTACAGCCGGACGACAGAGTCAGACCCTATCTCAAAAAAATAAAATAAAATGACAGTAATATTCTGCATTACAGAGTTGCCGTGAAAATGACATGGAGTTATAGGAAGAAAACACATAGCACAGTGCCTAACACATGGAGAGCGCTTGCTGAACGTTAATCACAAGTGTGATTGATCACAAATTAATCACAAGAGCGATTAATAATGAGTCCCACGTTAATCAGAGTTCTGGTGTGAAAATTGCTGAGTTCTTTTGCGCTCTTCCCTGCTTGCAGACGCCAGAGGGCGACATAGACGGCGGGACCCCAGCCGCCAAGCACGCCCGCCGCAGCGCCATGGTAGGCCACGCAGTGGCGCTAAGCTGCAAAATACCTGGTTTTCCGCAGGGTTTGGTTAGCGGAGGGCTGATCCCTGGAGAGCAGAGGCCGAGTAAGGGGGGCCCGGGAAGCCGGGGAGTCCTGAACCAGAGGCTCGAGGACCCTTGGACTGATTAGCCCCCGCGCTCCCGGGACGCAACAAGATCAGCTGGGAATGAATGGGTCCCGGGCTTTTATGAATCTGAGGGGGGCTTCCCTTCCTCCGGGAGCCGGGCTGCACCCCCTTCCCCTGGGCAGTCGCGGAGCCGTGACGCCTAGCGGAGGGGGGCGCGCGTCTCGGCGCGCGCCTGTCCTCGCGGTGGCTCATTCATCGCAGCCGCGGCACGCCGTTGCCATGGGGACGTGATGCAGGCGCGGGGAGCGGGAGGGAGAGGGAGGCCCCGGGTGACGTCCGCGCTCTTCTCACAGCTCGTCTCCCGCGGCCTCCCAATTTTTGCCTAATTTGGAAGAGAGCCGCAGCCCTTCTGCTGATGCGCGCGCGCTGGCGCCTTTTTAAGGCAACCAGCTGAGTGGCGGCTCCACCAGAGCCCGGGAGCTGCCCCCGCCCCCGAGCCGTGAGCCCTGCTCCGGCCCGGCCCGGGGAGTCCCCGGCGCCACACGCCCCCTCCTCCACCCCCATCTTAGCGCCCCCACCCACTATGGGGACATTTCAACCAGGGAGAAGGGAGGTCCTGCCCTTGCCCCTGGCCCCCGCCCCCCTCCTCCAACAGGGGAGACTTCTGTCCAAACCTTGGAAGGAAGCGAGATGCCAGGCCTAGCGCCTTCGGAGATCCTCTCTGGACAAGGCCACAGGGTGAAAACACCAGGTGAGGACTTCACTGCCCTCGGGGCCACCCTGGAACTCTGAAGACCTTTGCCTCCCTCCAGGCCCCGGGCCCCTTAACTTTTTTCTTCCTGAGCTCAGCCTGGAGCAGGGTTAGGATCCCGAGAAAGCCCCTTACCAGTTGCTCCAACCCCCTCCTTAAACTGGAAGGGAAACTGAGGCCCGGAGGAAAGTTGTGATTGACCAGGGCCACACGGCACGTTCCTGGAGGAAGAGCATGGGCCAGAGCCCACGGCTGCTGACCTCCTGGCCAGAGGTCAAGCCCTGTTCCTCACAGTTGAGCACAGCCAGCCCTGTCTGTGTGCACCAAGCAGAGGTGCTGGACACCTCTGCTCTGCCACCAGCTGCCTCGCCTTCCCCAGCGCAGTCTGAACCTGGGTAGGCTTTTTGGAAAAGCTTCTGGATGTCACGGACTCCACGACCGACCAACTAGGCTGCTGCTGCTTGCAAAGGTCACCTCCATTGAAGGATTCCTGCAGCCACCAGCTCTGGAACTTTCTGGACCCAAACCTTTCCCCAGACTGCCTACAAGGACCAGTTGGCTTCTGGATGGAGGTGTGGCCTGCGGAGGTCTGGCAGGGATCCCCAGAGCCAAATGGACCCAGCCCTTGGACCCCCTGCTGGTCCTATTGACCTCTGCCCTCTCCCTGCAGCATTTCCTGGAGGCGTTTGACCAGGACCCGCAGGACAGCTGGAAAGTGCCTGACCCTTCTCAAGGAGCTGCATGGCTTCCAGACATCCCTAGGCCCCTCTCTGGAGCAGGATGGGGGACCCAGAGGTGGAGCTGAACACACAAGGCAACACTTGAGGGCTCCGAGGGTGGTGAGGAGAGTTCCTGCTCTCACACAGCTAGCCCTGGGACCTTGAATGGTTCCTCCATGGAGCGTCCACTCCCAGTGCCACGCAGTCAGTGCAGAAGGGGGAGACTCAGGCAGCCCTCGGAGAGACACAATTTGCCAAGGTCACACAGCAAGTCTGAGACTAGGACCTAGAACCCCACCCCCTGGCTCAGGCTCCTTCTCAGCCGCCTGGACCCGAGAGGCCAGCCCGTGGGAGGCCCACATGGCCACTGCACCAGAAAACAAGGACCTGGCCCAGGTCCACCTCCGCCAAGTACCAGCCGTGTCACTTGGGTCACTCCATTCTCTGCATTAGGCCTCAGTCATCCAAGACCATCTTTCAAAGGCCCCCACTCCAATTATGAGTCTGGGATTTTCTGAAATTGAGCATCTTGGCCAGGCTATGGGGGCCCTCTGTGGCTGCCTGTAGGACACTGCCAAGGGGATTTTTTTCCTCCCACCAGACTGAAGCTAAGGAGTGCTGGAGACAGCAGTTGCTTTAGCCACAGGCTGTGTAGACCACCTGAGGATGATCCGGGCGTCTGTTCTGTGCACCTTGGAACCCATCGGATCCCTCCAGCGGTGAGTCCCCTGGTGTACCTAGCACCAAGCTGTGAGGATGGCCCCCGATGGGTTGGGTGGAAGAAGAAAAACTGCAGGCTCAGTCCCAGTACTTGCTCCCCTTCGTCCACACAGGCCAGGTCTCCAGGGTCCCTGCCCATCCAAGGCCGAGGACTTGGTCCTCTGGGAGCCTTCAGGGCCACTCAGACCCTAGCACTGGGCAATGGGCTTGTCACCACCTGAAACTGGGGCTTGGGGTTGTAGCATTCAACTTCCAAAGCCAAGAGGCACTGGGACAGGGGGCCCAGCAGGCCCAGAGATGCTCCAGAGGGTTGGGAGAGTCCTTTGAGGCTAAAGGGTCCAACCCACTACCATTTTGCAAATACAAAAGCTGAGGCCCAGAGAGGGTAAGAGGTTTGCAGAACACTTCTAACAGGCTAGCGGCAGAGCTGGGAACAGAATCCACGTCTTCCGCTGCTCCTGTCCGGAACTATTCCCCTGCACGAAACAATCCGCTGACATCTAGACTGAGCTCTCCTCTTCTTCCTGGACCTTGGATTCCTTGGCAGAAGGCTCTCCCAGCTCACACCCTGTCAGGGCTGGCAACTCAGGAGCTTTCCCTTCAACCTGATGGTCCTTTCCACCAAAGCTTCCTGGTGCTCCTTCACTCCCACCAGTGCTCAGCCCTTCCTGGCTTCAAAAGCTGCTCCATCAGCAGCCATAACAGTAACTCTGCCCTGTTCACCATGGTTCACCCAATTCCCTGTGGTTTCCGCATTCCTAGGCATGGAGAGCACCATTTACCCTGCTCGTGGGGGTCTCTTCTTTGTGGCTCCTAGGCCCAGTCCCTGCCCATCTCTGACCACTGGAGCCTTAAACCCCATTAGTCTTTCCTGGGACCCCTGGACCATTCCCTGTAGACTCCCTCTCAGCTGGCCCAGGGCCTGTGGGAGTAATAATGGCTGGCATGTCATAGGGCTGCTGTGAGTTTTCATGAATTAACACTCATCAGGTACACAAGGTGTGGGTAGGTGCCGCATCTGTAAACTCCCATGTTACAAGCTGTGCCCTGATAGTAACAAGGAGAGACTTGAAGCTGGAGCCTCTGGAGGCCAAGGCACCTGTGAGCAGAAGGGGAAGAGAGCAGGTGCCGGCCTGGAGGAGGTTTAGTAATGGGAGATCGTGGGAGCCATGAGGCTCTTAAGCTGGGAAGACCATGGTCAGGTCAGCTTCTGAATGGCAAGGGGAGCTGGGCTGCTGAGCACTAGGAGGGTGTGTTGGGCCCGGCCCAAGCCCTCCATCCCTGGCTTTGGTGAGCAGTGGAGGGGGAGGCCGCTGCCCAGGAAAGGGGCTTGCTGAGGCCCGAGCCAGAGCCCTGAGGGCCGCTTTGTGCATCCCTCGACTTCTCCAGGCTGCAGCCCCGGCCTGGCTTACTCCATCTGGTGCTCTCAGACCTGGCCTGGACCAAAGCTGCCAGTGGGTACCCAGGCTGTTTCTATACTTGCAGTGCCAGGACAGGTTCACCTCCTGAACCAGCCCTTACTATCTCTGCATAGCCATGTTCAAAATGGTATTTTTCTTAAAGTTAAGATAATGACCAACATTCTGCCATTGAGCATTTCTTGTGCTCCTTTTATGCACCAGGCATTTTCTGAGTGTTTTAACTACTTAACTCCTTTAATGTATACATCAGTCCCTTGGTGGAGGGGCCGTCATTCTCCCCACTTGTGTGTTTAACAAATCATTAAACTGAGGCACAAGACGTTAAGCCGCTTAACTGACCAATGTCACAAAGGCAGTCTGTGGAGGAGGCAGAACCCAGCCCAGATCCTCCTCTCCTGCTTCAGGTACACCCCCACCCACCAGCTTTTCCACGCGGACCATGTCTCTCTCTCTGCCTCTTGATGGTCCTTCAAACATCTGCAAATGCCAAACCACCCCCTCAAGCCCCCTCTTCTCTGAGGAACATCTCTCTATTCCTTCCATCTTTTAAAAATTTCTTGGGCCGGGCACGGTGGCTCACACCTGTAATCCAAGCACTTTGGAGGCCAAGGCAGGCGGATCACCTGATGCCGGGAGTTCAAGACCAGCCTGACCAACATGGTGAAACCCCGTCTTTAAAAAAAAAAAAGTCTTACAAATGTTTATACAGCACTTTACTCCATGCTGGAGTTGACAGTGGGCAAAGCAGTCACGGTCCCTTGCCATGGTGACTGCAGTCTAGTGGAGGAGAGACAATAAATTCCTCACCAAAATAAAGTATTAAATCGCTGTAACACCAAGTGCCAGCAGAGGCCCAGGGTGCCTGGGAACCTGTAACTGGGGATTTGACCTCAGTAGGAAGGTCAGGGGAGGCTTTCCAGAGGAGGTCATGTTTGGGCTGAGCTAACGTGTAGCAGGAGCAGCCACATAAAACAGACCTTTCGAACACCAAACTGGGAAGGAAGTGTTTATTATTATTATTACGGCTGGGAGCCAGGCGATAATTTGTCTAAATGACCCAGCTCAGCTAACAAAGAGAAGCTCTGCCTTTATATAGGCGTACACTCTAGATATTACACCTGGAAGGATCTTAGGTTTATAGCCTTAGAAATCACATATGAAAGTCTTGGGTTTACAGTTTTAGGAATCACATATGAAAGGTTTCTGGTCTCCAGATGGAGGAGTGGAGTGGGGGTTTGATCTTGGTTAAGTAAAAACAGTGTCTTCCAGAGTTTCCCCAATACCAAGCCTGCTTTTTACTGGAAGATGATTTAAGAGGTGCCAGTCAGCCAGCCTATTATTCTATTGAAATGCGGGGTGGAAGTCAAGGGGGAGGTGATCCTAGATGCCTGAGTCGCCTTCCTCAATGGGAAAATAGGAAGAACTTGGCAGAGGAAAGAGGCAGTGGCACTCCAGGAGAGGGAACAGTGTGTGCAAAGGCACTGTGGCAGATGGGAGGGTGGCAGGCCAAGGACTAGAAGAAGGCTCATGCAACTAGAAGAGAAGCAAGGGGGGGTGCATGAGGCCAGACAGGCTGGAGGGCCTACCAGAGCCAGGCCTGGGGGATGCCCTGGGCCCTGCCTCGCAGCCCCAGGTGCAGTCAGCCCCTCCCCACTGGTTGCTCTGCTCAAGGCTGGGCTTAAACTCATAGCACAAGTCCTAGAACCAAAATTCCTGGCCCTGACAGAGGCTGCCCTCTCTCCACCTTTGCTGTGTGCCCCTGTTAACACAACCTTAGCTACAGTGGCTTCTTTGGTGGCTACTGGGACTGTGTCGAGTCTCATTTATGAGGCCACACTCCTCGTCCACCCAGCCACCCACCCAGCACAGCCTGGCGCAGTCAGCACTGACTTGTCACCAGCAGCTCAACTCAAATGCACCAACTTGGGGAGGCCAGTGCCAATTCCTCCAGCAGGGTCACCCCTCTTTCTCTCCCGAACTCTCAGTGTGCCTCCTTGACAGCAGTAGCCCACTGAAGTGGCTGGATAGACCCCTTGCTCTCTCACCAGCCTGCAGGTTCCATGAGGCCAAGACCAGCTGTCATCACCACAGAGGCTGGCACAGACTCCACCCCTAGCTGTTGGTTGCATGAATGACTTACATGCCCGAGCCCCTGCCCTGTGCCAGGCCTTGTGCTGGATGCTGGGAACATGAAGAGCAGATGTAGATGCTGATAGTGGAGACAGCCAAGTAAACACTCAGGGACAATGCAGTGTGCAGAGCACAGTGATGAGGAAGCACAGAGGGCTGGGGGACACTGGAGGGGTCCCCAGACTCCACTGGAGGATCGGCAGGGCAAGGAGGAATTCTCCAGCTGGGAGTGGTGATGAAGAGGACTCTGAAAATGAATGTGGGGAAAGTCGTCTCCTCCAGCCTCCCCAGGGCACTTCAGGAGTGTTGGTCACTGCTCTGCATTTGAAAGTGGCTTTAGTTGATTAGGTTTCCTTTCTCTCTTGGAATGTGGCTGCTCTGACATGCTCCTCGCCGCATTCCTTGTGTCCTCTTCACTCAGCCCCTGCCTTAAGGACATTGCTCAGAAAAGTTTTATTTTTCCCACCTGGGCTCCACTCTCCCTCTCCCACCCACTCCATGGTTCTATGCCCCTCACCTTCCTGGCTCTCAGCTCCTTCACCCAGCTCTGGCCGTCTCAATGCGTGGGTGCCAGCCTGCACCCTCGTTACATGAGCTTTGTTGATTTCATAACCATAAATAGATAAAATGTTCTGAATGCTTTCATGTGCAAGTAGAATTGAGGGAGTGATAGCATAATGAAAAAGCCTCAGGAAAAGGAAAACAGCCTGCTAAGATGCAGCGGAAGACAACACAGCCACTGCACAAGCCAGCTCTGCGTGGGGCTCCTTTTCTCACTGCACTGACCGCAGAGCTGTGGACGCAGGTTGGGGACGTGCTTAGGAATCTGTTAGAAAACCTTTCTCTGGTTTCAAATCCACCAATCCAAAAGAACAATCTAGTTAAAAAACAAAAACAAAAAGTAGAAGTCAGGAAAACCTGGGTTCAATTGTGGATTTATCTCATTCTAGCTGTGTGATCCTGGGCAAGTTAATCAACCTCTCTGAGAAGACATAGAGAGATTCTTCCCCTGGGTCAGACTGGAGGCATCAGGAGGCCCAAGATCCCACAATACCCTCCTTTTCCTCTCATACATACACTTTGTCTTCCTGACAATACCTTAATCACCAGCCCTGAGACTCCCCCTTCCCAAAATGCAGCCTGAAGACTAGGTTTGGAATAGGGATTTATTGAGGTACCCTGTCTCCTCATTGCCCGTTCCAACTCCTGTTGCAGGAAGTGGAGCGTCATCCTGCTTGGATGACACAAAGGGGACTGGAAGCTAATAAGGAGCCTGGCCCATTGGGCTTCCCACCTCTCCTCCGTTAAGGTGTCCAGGAGCACTACTTCTCCATGGCATTTGGAATAGTAAAGGGAGCTTAAATGATAGCTTGGTATACCCTGGACTAAGAGAGCATTCTGGGTGAGAAAGAGAAACAAGTGGAGCTATTCCTGGTGTGAACTCATCCTCTAGTCTAAGGATGGCAAACTTTTTTTGTAAAGGGTCAGTTAGTTAAAAAGGGTCAAAAAGTACTTAAGGCTTTTTGAACCATATGGTCTCTGTTGCAACTACTCAGCTTTTCCACTGCAATGTGAAAACAGCCATAGACAATGAGTAAATGAATGGATGTGACTATATTCCAATAAAACTTTATTTACAAAAAGAGGCAGCAGGCTAGATGTGGCTAGATTTGCAGTCCATAATTTTTAAACCCTAGCCCTAAGCCCTACCACGTGGTGCAAGAGAGCAAGCCTAGGTTGGGAGCAGGAGCTAGGGATGAGGCTTGGCATTGCCAGAGACTTGCTGTGTGACTTTGATTAAGTCATTCTCCATCTCTGATCCTTTGTTTCACCATCTATCAAATAAACATCATAATATCAGTCAAGGCTGGGTGCCGTGGCTCACATCTGTAACTTCAGCACTTTGAGGGGCCAAGGTGTGAGGATTGCTTGAGGTCAACCATTCAAGACCAGCCTGGGCAGAAAAAAAGTTTAAATTATCTGGGTGTAGTGATTTATGCCTGTAGTTCCAGCTACTCAAGAGCCTGGCACATAGGATTATTTTAGTCCAGGGGTTTGAGGTGGCAGTGAGCTATCATCAGGCCACTGCACTCTGTGTATAAATAATAATAATGATATCAGTCAGATTTGTCATGAGAATGGGTCTAACAGGTCAGAGCAAATCTGAAGTCTTTTCATCCCTCTGTGTGATGCTAAGAGGAGCTGCACCCACTGCCCAACCCAACTTCACCTAGCCATGCCCTTGTCTGCTGAGGGTGGCAGCAGCCTGTCAGAAAGGAAGGTGTCTCTCTCCAGGGTCAGATTCTTCATCTGTCTTTCCAAGCTCCAGCCCCAAGTGACCCCATTTCTGTAGCAAGCCAAGCACGGGAGGAAATAAGGAATGCCTTTCTTTCCACCATCCAGTCATTTGGCAGGAGGCAACAGTTCACTTGAGAGAGTGATGTGGCTGCAGTGGCTGGTGGCCAGGCTTTGGAGGAGGCCTTTGAGACTCTGACTGGGAATAGAACTATGAAAAATGGGCTTCAGTGCTCCTCTGGAACATTCACCTATGGCCACAAGTTAAGTAGTTGCAGCTGTGGTCTCATTGGTGACTTGCGCCACCACCAATTGCATCAATACATATTTCTGGCACCATCTTGCCCACCTGTCTGGTTTGACCACTACTGCAAGCTTGCATCCTTTGGCATATTGTCATCTTCTCTGAAGCCCCATCCAGTGATTCATTCATTCATATTCTTTCTATCCCTCCTCACTTCCCTTCCCTTCCCTCTGCTTTCTCTTTCTCATAGACACATTTGTCCAGAGCAAGACAAGATAACACTTTGACAGCTCTCTGTCAAGATTCTTGCTCCAAATCTCCAGACTAGTATCCAGGAGTCTCCATGCCGGTTCTGAAGAAGCAGATTCCTCATCCACCCTTCAACTCCTTCCCAGGAGGTCATCCTCCTCCAAATCTCTAGAAAAGATACACCTCCTCTTCTCTGATAAAGGCTGGGGGGTGATGCCCCCCCCCAGGTTCCCAATAAAGCTATGCAAGACAGGGGCAAGAGCTCTCACAGCCTGTTTTTGTTACAAAAACCCTTTTTCGGAAAAAATAATAAAGAAAGGAATCAGCCAATCCCTCCTCGATGCCATCACCTCTTCTTGGTGATTTTTCGGGGAAAGAGTGGGTGGGTTGCTATGGCAACAGATGCGAGCTCGTCTCAGTAAAGAAGGGACCTTGATATTTTTTTCTCTCTCTCATTCTCTCAGTTGTGTGTGTGTGCGTGCATGTGTATGTGCGCCTGTGTGTGTGTGCATGCGCGCTACGCATGCCTGTGCCCACACCAGGAATATTTTTTTTGGGAACTAAAGAAAGCCCTTCTCTTCTCTCAGCTCTCCAAATATGGAGTGATGGAAAACCACTTACTCCTGCAGGCCAGGGAGAATTCAGGATGATTCAAGAGAAAAGGGAGAGGTCATGTGGGGCTCTTTTCCTCCATGTTTTTACTACAGATTGCATGCAACAGAGAGAGCTTCACAAATGGTTAGGGGGTTCTTGGAAAGAGGGGAAGATGCTAGGTAGAAAGAGGTGAGAAAGACATAGATGGTGCAGGAGCCCAACAAGTAACATCAGAGAGGGCAACAGAAACTATATTGAGTTTGGGGATGCATGCACATCCCACCATGCCATCAGATGCTGAGAGAAAGACCCAGAGCAGACTCAGATATGGACACAAACACAGACACTGACAGAGAGGCATATGGAAAGTTGTAGACATAAATACACACAGGCACAAACATAGAAGTTGGAGACTTTTTAAAAAAGACAGACATAGATGCAGACATAGGTAAACACATACAGGGCTAGAGACTTGCAGCTACAAACACACATGCAAACAGAAACACAGATAAAGACACACAAATACGTTCAGACAGGTTTAGAAGCAGACACACAGGACATACAAACACACTCTCAGTCGAGTGAACACACACACACACACAGTCTGGCTCTTTTCCTTCCATTGCCCAAGCATCCCTGAACAGTAGTGCATAGCTGGCTGGGGATGCTGCACGCTTGCCCAGTAGGTTTGGCTGAGAGGCTCTGCTCTCCCATTCCTTCTACACACTCACCCCAAAGCCCCTCTCCCAATTCATTCCCTTGCCCACTTTCCCACAGCCAGCAGGCTCTGATGCCTCCCCCATCTCAGGCTTCTAATTCTTAGCTTGTTCTGCTGCTGCTGCCTGCCACTTGGGGGAGAGAGTGGGGTGACTCAGCCAGGCCAGGATGACTCACACTGCCAGTATTTTTAGCAGCGGCCAGGAGCTCTCTAGTGTGCCAGCCACCCCCCTCCTCCTGCTTGCTATTTCGGAACCGTCACTGGTGATATAAATAGCTCCTCTCCCACGGCCTGAAGCTGCTGCCAAGCTATTTTTGGTTCTGCACAGTTAAAAATAGCTTCATGGAGGTGGGAGGCAAGGGGAGTGGGAGCTGGCCTAGGGAGAGGAGACATCGGGGCATACAGAGCTTCTCAACTTGAATCAGAGTGGGCGAACTAGGATGAGCTCTTCTCTACCCCCTCCCTTGTCCCTTTCTAGACCCTTCTTCCCTTCCAAAGTGCTTCTTTCTATTCCATTCTGGAAAAAGCCAGGGGCTCTTCCCTTGAGCCCAGTTCTCCTCCCTTGCTTACTTCACTCCTACTACAGCCCAGGAATCTTGGCCCCCTGCAACTCACCCATATCCATCTACAGAGAATAAGGGGACAGTCAAAGGGGAGGCTCACTCTGAGGCCTGTGGGAACCCAGGCCCTACCTTGATGTCCCGCAAACTGCAGCCTATCTCACTTCCGTGGTGACTTTTTCAGCACCACGGACAGCTGCCAGAGCCCCATTCCTTCAGTGCAGATTCGCTCAGATTTCTGGAGGCCAAGGGACACACCCAGTAGACTCCTCTGATTGTGGAGAAGGACACTCAGAATTTCTCCCAGGCAGCTTTAGCATCAGTGGGTGAAGAACACAGGAACAACCCCCCTGGAATTTCATACGGAAGGGGACCCAAAGATCAAGGGGTTGTTCAAATAGAAGCTTGAGAGAGAGAGGTGGATGGGCACATCAGAGGTCAGATCGAAATGAAAGAAGCAACACAGACCCATGTCCAGAAGGAACCATCTCTCTGTCATCCATGTCAATAGGATTACAGACAGTGGCAGACAGACACATGGACAGCGTTCCCTCCACCTCAGTTGTTACACTTACCACAGGATGGCCCCAACCTCTGCCAAATGCATAAGACACCAGGATAGGGTCTCCACAGCTTTGTACCCCTCTTTTAAGACATACGTCTCCTCGACTGCCTCTCTTCCCACCCTACCTCTCTTGCTACCACCCCTTTCCACGAGGAGTGGGGAATTCCCTGGTCTCAAACTGTCCTTTTTGATGTCAAAGTTCATCTCCAGGCTTCCTGTGTGACTGGGACTTCCCAATTTTTAAGTGGTCTGATTTCCAGCCCCTTAAGTGATTCCATGCACACACAGCTACTCCATCAAATGATATTTCAGATAAGAACATTCGCTAGCCCACTTGCTTCTTGCATTATTGAATCCCCGGATAAGAACGGCATCTCCTCGACCCTGTAGAGAGCAATAATCTGTGGTGAAAAGAGAAAGAAAGGGGAGGGGGGTATCGGATAGGGCAAAGGTGACAGGCTATGGAGAAGAAAGAAAGGGGAAGCTTCAGGGGTCGGGGCACTAAGCTAAGCCAACCACCAAGCACGCTAGGAGAAAAAGAAACGAAGGTGAGAGGTGGAGAGTTGAAGGTGGAGAGGCAGAGCCAGCAGCCCTAGCGCCACAGATGTGGAGAGGGGTAGAGGGAGCCTGGCGAAGTTACAGGGTCCCTGGTAGCTGCAGGGGTCACGGAGGGTCCGGCGCGGCCCCCTCCCTTCTCGGCTGCTCCCCCATCTTGCCCGCCTAGGCAGGGCGGGGAGCCCTGCTGAGCTGTGCGGAGGCAGTCAGGCCCCGCCCGCCGCCGCCGCAGCCGCGGCTGCCGCCGGAGGATTCCTGTCCTAATATGGAGCTGGGATTCCCCCGGCCCCGCCCCCGCCCCCGGCCCGCGGGGAGACCGAGGCTGGCAGCAGGGCGGGGGAAAGCGCTCGCTTGGGGGCCGGTAACGGGGTGGGGGAGGGGGGAAGGGATGCCTAAGTGCAGATCCAGGTCCTCGCTGTCCCCCGCGTCCCTGCCTCAGTTTCCCCCTTCAGCAGCTAAGGTTAATTAGCTGACAGGGAAACCAAGAATCACTGCAGCCTAGCGCTGGTGTTGGTTTCTATTCGTGGCTGTGAGAAAACAATATCAACGCCAAATTCAGCTGGTCCCTTTCCCACCGGACCGTCTTTCCACCCATCCTAGGGACTTAGACCCCCATGAATACCCCCTGATAAACCGCCAAGGCTCGGTTTGGGAAGAGGGGGAGGGGATTTGTTTTTTGAAAATGGCCAAGGGAATCCCAGGTTGAGTAGTCCTCAGAGAGGAACCCCAGCTGTGACCTGTCCCACGGAGGCCAAGGAAAGTCCTCCTTCCCTGCATGTGAACGTGACCTTGTCTGGCAAGTAACGAGGGGAATTTGTAGACAGCCCTGTTCCTCCCCATTCCCTCAACTCCTCAGAAAAATTAGTGTCAGTGCCAGCCCCTCTCTGCCCTCTGCAGACTCCTGCCGGGGGCTTCAGGCCGCCCTAATCCTGGCCCTGTCGCTTCCCTCAACTGAACGCGTTCGGACGCCTGGGTCCCCACACCCCATTCAGGCTTTCCTAACGCAGCGCCTGCCTCTCCGCTCAGCTCCCGCCAGGCTCGGCCCCCTCCGCAGCCTCCTGCTCCCCCCTCGCTCGCCCCCCTCCCGCTCTCATTCTACGTCATGGGATGACGTCGGAAGCCGGGCGGGAGGAGGAGCCCCCCTCCCCAGTCAGCAGCTCCCGCTGCAGCTCGCTTAGCCCAGCCTCCCGCTCTCCCGCCCCCCAGCTCTAAAACGAGCCCCCCACGCCTGGCAGGAGCTATATAAGGCGGCGTGAGGCAGGCGAGGGGGGCAGCGCAGCCGAGCGGAGCCCAGGAGAGCAGAGAGCGAGCCTGAGCGAGAGACTGGGAAGCACGGAGGAGGAAGCCGCCGGTGCGTCGGGACGGGAGCGAAGGTGCTCGGGCGCCCGAGCTGGAGCTCCGCAGCCGCCGGTCATGTACCGCTCCACCAAGGGCGCCTCCAAGGCGCGCCGGGACCAGATCAACGCCGAGATCCGGAACCTCAAGGAGCTGCTGCCGCTGGCCGAAGCGGACAAGGTCCGGCTGTCCTACCTGCACATCATGAGCCTCGCCTGCATCTACACTCGCAAGGGCGTCTTCTTCGCTGGAGGTGAGCATGCTGGGACTACCGGAGATCCGAGCTGCCGGGACCCTGGAGCTGGGGAACCCGCTGGGGCTGCTGCATGTCTAGGGCAGCGTGCTGGCGAGCTGGGGAGATTCGGGACTGTCTATTTTTCCTCCTGAGCTCCCTCCAAACCTCGCCTTAGTTCTGAGTGAGAGTTAGAGAGCCTGGACGGTATCTCTAACACCAGGGGCCTTAGAGGAGAGGAGAGGAGAGGAGAGGAGAGGAGAGGAGAAGAGCCAGGCCAGAGCGGCCTCGGTGCCTGCCAGTGTAAAGGCGCTCAGGGAGCTGGGGAGGGAAGCCCGGGAAGTTGCAGGGATGGAGCAGCCTGAGTCTAGGGAAGCGTAGCACTGTCCGCGGTGCTGAAAGGGTTTCCTGTAGCCTTCGGGGGGTGCTGCCCGTGGTGCTGACGGCCGCTTCGGCCGAGCAGGGAGCTGTCCACGGTTCTGAACTCACAGTCCGCTTTGGAACTCTGTCCGCGGTTCTGAGATTCACAGCCCCTTGGGAGCTCTGTCCACGATTCAGAAATTCAGAGCCGAGGAGGCGCCGACCCGGTTTAGAAGTCGAGGGCTTGCGGGCTATGGAGATACAGCAACAGGTTCCCTGGTCAAGAGCTGCAGGCAGCGGGTCAACAGGTGTTTGCAGAAGCACGTCCATGAGAAATTCCTCTGGATTCTTTGAAACTCAGGCCATGCCTTCCTCACTTCTGCTTTGCCTCCCAGTCTTACTCCTGACTCACCATGTCTTCTCGCCC